TAAAAACTTGGCTATTTAAACAGGCCTTCCCTCCAGTCAGCTAAATCTTTTTTATTTCTTCTTTCCTTATCCTATCCCATCTTGGTAATCCTTTCTTAAATTAATTGTCTTAATTAATATAGCAATTGTGTTTTATGATTATATATATTTTTATATTGATTTATTTTATGTTGTAAGCCGCCCCGAGTAGACATGGTCTAGAGGGGCGGGGTATAAATAAATAAATAAATAAATAAATAAATAAATAAATAAATATTCGGATCGGCTTATACTCGAGTATATACAGTACTTCGTTTTAAATGTTTCATGATATTAGTGGTAATGTGCTTCTGGAAAACTTCCAAACAGTTTTAAAATACTTGCATAATATTGTTGTCTTCTACAGGCAGCTGTGAAAGAAGTGGAAACTAAACAAAAAATCATGATACCTATGCAGTGTGATAATGTAACTGACATAAACATAACCAACAAAAACAAAGAAAACAATCTAGAAATGACAAACAGGTTGGTACCATATAGAAGTAAGGTTCTTGTTGCTTACACTTTATTATAACTAGGATATACACAAGCTAGTAGAGGTTTATACTTATTATTTCTTGAAGATCTAGCATTTTATCTGTAAGATATTTGTTGTCATAAGAGGTCATGCTTTTTCCTTCCCATGTCACTCTTCATTTCTTAACAGTATCTTCACAGTAGAAGGTGAATTATAAATTATGCTACATACTATTCAAATAAAGAAAAATCTCACTATCTGTCTAGCAAGGTGTATATTATCTGCAATAGAAACTGTGTGAGAGTAGCATTGGAATGTATGGAATGATTTATTCTTGGCATGAAATAGGAAAAATCAGGGTTTTTTTTCCAGTGGGACTGTATCATTTTGTGGAATTGTGCATATGGTCCTATATCTTGTCTGAATTCAGCTATATTTCACTGAAATAGATATTTTTTTAGTGAAATTAGTTGTAACCAAAAAGATACTGGCAGAAAGAAATAATGGATTCCTACATTTCTAAATATAGGATGAGAAAGTTGACAGGGTACAACAGTTTATATAAAACATATTTTGCTTGTTCTTGGGAATTAATGCTGTCAACATTACTTTGGCATTGTTTTTAACTCAGCATAAGCTATCCAGCAAAGAAAAGCAATTGGTGACAAGATGTAGCAGAAGACTAGCCTTTGGAGGCATTCATTTAATTATACTCAAGTACCATCATTTGAAACATGTTTCTCTTATTCCTTTCTAGATCATATGAACAGGCTTGTTGCTTGGCTGATCAAACATTATTAGATCCCAAGTGGGAACAGATTTACCTGAAACCAAAGCACAGAAAACAAAGTACTCTTCCAAGTAAGCGTTGCAGTCCTTGTCTACTTTAATTTTGATGGATGAGTCACTGCAATACTGCTATAGGCTTCAAACGCATGGAAAGATTTATAAACAGAACATGGGTAACTAATTACAAACTCATTACAAGCAAAACATTATGATACTTGCAACAGATTACATTTCAAGAATAATAAGGACTTTCCTGTGGTGTAGCAATGCTTTTTCTTCTTTTTTTCTTCTTTTTTTTCTTTTTTGGTATTTCAAAGGTTTGAGAAGGAACCTGCAATTATAAAACTTATCTTGTACAAGGTGGACAAACTGTTTTCAGTTTTGTTTTACAAGGAAGGAGCCTCTCTGAAGAATGTGAAGACTGTGAACACGTTTGGGCATTCCCCTGGGCAATGACAACACCCTGTCAGCTGATCTGTCTGCTCCGGAAGCACCACTGGATTGCTTCCAAAACAAAGAAGACTTTAGCACAAATGCCCTGCACTGCTCAGAGCAGTATCCTGAACGAGAAGGCCAGAGAATCATATTGCTCTGGTCTGTGAAACTAGACTAGCTCGATACACATAGCAAAGCACTGTCTAGATTTCTAGTCCAATTTATCCAGCACTCAGAGCCCTGCACAGCTCCGAGGGGCACATAGTCCTAAAATTAAAAAACAAAATCAAGCATTTCACCAACTTCATCATGAATATTTTTACCCTACCCTGCAAACAAGCAACTTAATGAAAAATGCAATGCTTTGCTCTTAGAACAGTATTAACATCTTCCTGTTCTGATCTTCTAATAAGCAGTAGAACTAGTATATTTTTAAAAGTAACATCCCAAACTCCGAAAATACTATATAGTGGTGCCTTGCTTGATGAGGATAATCCATTCCAGCGAAATCGCTGAAGAGCGAAATCGTCATCAAGTGAGGAAAAAAAACCCCATTAAAACTCATTGAAAACCGGTTCAATGCATTCCAATGGACGAAATACCTCAGCGTCCAGCGAAGTTCCTCCATAGGGCAGCCATTTTCCGATCCTTGTTAAGCAAAAAATCTGTCCTAAAAACAGCAGGGAGCCATTTTGCACAGTGGGCGGCCATTTTGAAACCCGACGATCAGCTGTTTTTAGATCATCGTAATGCGAAGAATCGGTTCCCGAAGCAGGGAACCGATCATTGTCTAACGAAAATCGCCCTTTGAAACATCGTTTTGTGATTGCAAAAACATCATCGTGAAGTGATTTCATCGTTTAACGAGGTAATCGTAAAGCAGGGCACCACTGTACATGGAAACCTGGCTCACAGCATGCATGCATAGTACTCATCTTTTAAATTATAACTCCACATTTTAAATAATAAAAAATAGTATGTCAATATGGCTGTGTAAAGCTTGAACCAGTGGATTATGTAATGAAATAATATCTGGAATAGAAATATGCAACTTACCACATCCAGTTAAAAGTAACTTTGCTTTTCAAACCCTTCCGCAAATATAGCCTTCTAAGTGTGAATTTATGGCAAACTGCAAATGAACCTTAAGTATATACAAATATAGCCTTCTAAGTGTGAGTTTGTGAGTGTCTGGTTTATAGTAAAGATAACCTATCAAGAAATACTACTAGCAAAATGAAGGACTTGATGACCTATTTTGCTGTTTTTTGCAGCAAGAGCAGTATTGATTTCATATCAGATTAGCTGTTTTTCTCCTCCTGGCAAACTGCAAATGAACCTTAAGTATATGAAGGAAGTAGAGTGTAACAGCAATTCCTATAGACAGCAACAATTTAATATTCTTGCCACCTGTACCTCTTATCTGCAAATCTATAGCATGCTACACACACAGGAAAAGTGCATGCATCCTTAACAGTAGTTGAATCAGCAGTACTGTAATTAAAGACAGGAATTAAGGAATTTCCTTTTCTTCTAGATGCAATAGATACAGACCTCAAAAATGAAGGAACAGTATGTTTTGCTGAGCAATACAGGTGGAATAGATAATCTGCAGGCATACTTGTTCAGTGGCTGAAATCCTGTTGTATATTGTAGTAAATTGCATTAGAACAGGCCTACTGAATCACCAGAGATTTTATGAGAAAAATCTTTTCTCAGTTCCATTAATTCAAGTGGACCTACTCTAGTTACAACTTTACCATAGCAAGTTGCCTCATCAAATCCTCATTGATTAAATGGGCCTACTCCAGTGCAACTTGCAGTTAACATAGTAAGCCACAAGATTTCAGCCAGTATACAGCAGTTACAGTTGATCTGTATGGGTTTTAACTGGCACTGCCATGTACAGTGTTCTTAAAATTTGAAATTTTAAAAAGACATCTGTTCTTCTCCAAACTGTTACAAGATATTCCACTTTCATTCACACTGAAGGGCCTATTATGGTTGTGGTTTTTTAAATACCCCAGTTCCATAGCAAATGAAATCAGCTTCAACTTGGCCTTCATCTAGTTTGAAATAAATTTCTGTGTAGCTATCTTCCAAGAATAAAGCTATCAATAATACATTGAATGTAAAGGTTCTAAATATATTTGTTTTGTTTACTTTACTAGGTAGGAATGCTTTGCTGAATATAGAAAATGGTCAGCAGGCTGATCTCTCAACTGGTCAGAAAAAACAGGTATGAATGGGCAAGATTCTAAAATCTTCATGTTGTAATATAATAAGATGTTGGTAAGAACAATCATAGGATCAGCATTCTTTCGGTTTACAACACCTTGCTACAGGAGACAACAGACATGCACTCACAACACTAGCCTGCCAGGCTTTGCAAAGATATTACTTGGGACAATGCAATACAGTGCAATTCTTGCTGCTGTTGTTTAATGTGATACCTACTCATTGCATGCAGAGGAACTGCCTGTAATAAAGGACAAAAAGCTGCTATTGTGTAGCTTAATTTACTTACAATACTTATATACTGCCAGATAACATTTTTTTTCTGGACAGTTTACAAAAAAACTTAAAATGATGAAAACCACAAATATAAAATCTAAAACAGAATAATAATACATCAAATAAAACCAAAGCAAAAACAAAGTGCAGAAGATATAAAAGGCTCAAAATATTTTAGGACTGAAAGCCCTGAAGTAAAGGCTTCATCTGTACCAGAAAAGACATTATCATCTTAGCCTGCCACAACCAGGAGACCATCACTTTCTGTATAGTTATGTGTAATTTCTATGGTGTTTTCTGGTGAAATTGCTTACCCAAAGAGATAAAAACTTTTTTTTACTTTCACGTAATTATCTTGTGTGCTCAGACTCTAGTAAGGATATCAAAGCCTGGTAGAAGGGTTCTTGATTCAACAGGCTTGAGAAGCTAGCAGTTACTGGCTTAACAGACAGTGACTGTCTAAGTAATCTCACAGTTCTCTTGAAAGTGGGCATCTGACTTTTGTATTTATTTATCCATAGTCTATCAACAGAATCTAAGTCCTGAACACAGCTGTTCTGGTATTCCAAAGAAACTGAATTTGCTCATTTCAGTAGGCACCGATTGTTTATAAAAGATTCTACATAAAAGAATATGGTGGATGTTCTAAGTGGTTCTCTTTTCAGTATTGCTGCTATTAATTAATTCTCTCCTAGGCAAAATAAATGTTGCAGGAGTGTTACATAATGCTTTCCAGTGCATTACAACTAGAAAATCAAAGGCAGTTTTATCATTTTCTGCTTCTTATATGATATACATTATGATAAACAATTGAGCTTTTCGATTGCAGTTGTTTTTTTTTAAAAAAGTATGCTGTAGTCTACCAGTGGCCATTGTATATCTAAGACTCTTGTATGTTTTAATCAGGTTTGATGTTCTAAAATATATATTTCGAGAAATACTTTACATCAGAACAATTCAAATAACGATGTTCATTCCAGAAAGCTGAATTCTTGAATTCAGCCATGCCAGGAGTAGTAGTTCTTGAAATGTTGCATATCTGTAGATTTTAGTACACAAAAGACTTAACTCTTTCAATCCCCAAAGCTCAATTTGACAGGAGCTGTAGTTTTTCCCCAGCTCATTAGTTATAGTAGTATTTTAAATGGTGTCTATATATTTGAATATCATTTGTCTTTTTTCCCTTTTAAAGAGATGGAGCTGGGAAGATGATCAGAAATTGAAAAAAGGTGTACAGAGGTTTGGAGTAGGAAACTGGACTAAAATTCTTCAACATTATGACTTCAGGCATCGAACTAGTGTAATGCTGAAAGACAGATGGAGAACTATGACCAGATTAGACATAATTTGAGCTGCTTTTCCCTCCTACATTAGTGGTTTCTCAGCTTTCCTCTTATTGTGTTCTCCTGATTTAATCGTCTCACCAGGTGGTATTTTATATGTATTTTACCAAATCATGGTAAAAATATGTGTAATAAAAATAAGCTTGTAGCCTCTTCATGTATTGTAATCATTTGATGCTGGTTCTTGACACTTTAGGAAATAAGAGGGTTTACATCTGGGTATTAGCTAAAAAAATGGCATCAGAATAATTAGGCTTAACATTTCATTCCTATCACCTGTGCAACTGCATAAATATAAAATGGGTTTAAGGCTAAAAAATCAAAGCATGTGTACTCCGTAAGTGAAGACTTTGACAGCCATGTTTTAGTATGATGCTTTGTCTACTTCAGCTCAGGGCCCTTCATACAATTCTACAATAAGGGGAAGTATATGGGCAGCAGATTATTTAATGCCATATGCCATGTGAAATTTTGATTTTAAGAAAAAAAATTTAACACTCCTCCAAAATCTCTTTATTTCCAGTTCTAACAATGGTTTCTCTCCTGTCTATTCTGGAATAATTCTTGATGGCCAGGTGCCTCTTAGAAATAGCTTATTCCTGCTGCACAGCAGCTGCATTCATTTAAATAGTTGTTTGTAAATGTAAATTAGACTGTCAAGCAGGTTCCCTATCACTGGTTCATAAGAAGCTAGCAGACCTCCCAGCAACTTCCTGTTCTGAGGAATGTGTAGTGTGATCTGACCGCATACTGAAGAGATGGAATTTCAGTATTTAGGAGCATCTATCTGATTGGTTTCTCTTTTGCTATGGCAAAAGCAAACTTTTGCATTTCAGGACCACTGTCCTAAGCTTAACAGGAGCACATGACTGAACCTTATTCATTCCAACAGACCATTCACAGGAGTCACTGACATGCAAGGTAAAGTCCTTGCTGGAATGCCATCCCATAGTTTATCTTCAAGCCATTCTGTATAATTTGGTACAGTTAACTTTACTCAGTGCACAAAAGGCTGAGTGGAACTTAAAACTGACTTCGTTTGTTAAATAATAATGTTCATTAAATCCAGCATCCAAGTATCTTCCTCCTTTCAGTTAAAGTTGTTCCAATTGCTATGTAAAAATAAAACTATGTACTTGAGGACATGAACATTCCTCCACCTCTTTAACTTTTTTCCATGTTCCATAGCAGAATGGATTACCAACTGCTTGCCAGTGAAGCACTTTATCTCTGAAAGAAAACAGAAATGTATTATCATAATGGGGAGGATATAGCTTCATAGTGTGCTAACATGCTTTCTAAATGTGGAGTCATATAATGAGCTACTTCCAAAGCAAAACAATTCTAATAGTTAATTATATATTACTGCAATTCTTGCACAATGTTTACATAAGAATAAATGCCGTCATCACAAAAAGAGTGATATTTCAATAAAAATTGAGTAGATACGACTCCAGGTTGACCATTCTTTGAGACTTTCTTTGCCAATCTGCCCATGCTGTCTCGTAGCCCTGCAGTGGTTCTGCAGACCAAAACACATTTTCTGAAGTCACAGCAAAAAAAATGTTACCACCTTTGCCATAAGCACAAATTTACTAAGTAGTACTGTGGATCCGATCCAGTGTAGTAGTGGTGCTGGTGCTGCTGGTGCTATTACTACAACTACTTTAGAAGATTACTTGCTGAACTGTTATGTTTACCACAGCTGATTTAAAATTAACACTGTAATAGTCTATAGAGTCAGCTGTAGCTACCAACATTTCTTGATGCACTCTTGGAAAGGAGCAAGGTGGTAAATACAACAGCACCTAGTTGCTCTAAAACCAAAAAGGAATTAAGGGTTCTCTTTCAACCGTGGCCATGATACTGGGACTTATAAGCTCTAGGCTCCCCATGCACTGCAGTCATGGAGATTAACCAATTTCCTTTAGTTATTATTAACAAGTGTCATTGTTTCATTAGGATTATAAGTGAAAATAAACACATATTGTACACATTTGCTAAAAAAGAATTTTAAAACTCACGTTATCTGCTGTCAAGTCACATTTGATTGATAGCAACTATAATAAAATGTGCAAGGTGAGTGATATACTAAAGGAGTGGTTTTATCAGTGCCAGCCTCCTGTGAGCACCCATGGCTGAGGAGGGATTCAAACTCAGGGCTCATGAGTCCTCGTTCACCACCCTATCCACTACACCACACTTGTCTAGAAAGGTAGTAATCTCACCTGTGAAATAGATTGCCTACTATGTAAGGACAGATATATCATTCACCAAAAAAAAGTGAAAATTTTGGGTATATTTGTCTGTGCAGCAGCTTTATCTTTCTTGCTGGCACCACTAACTAGTCACAGCTAGAATACTGTCATATTACTGCTCTACAGTGCAAGAAAGCAACATTAAATCCAAGCTCTAAAGCCATTATCAAATAGAAGAAATCTCAAAATTGATCCTTTGGATTCCAGCCAATCCCACCAGAGTTCTTATGTTTAAATGTATACTTAAATGGAAGGGAAAAAAGTGTCTGTGAACTCTGTATGTTTGTTGCTTTTCTAGTTTAGACTGAAACTCAGCTGCTTTTGCTTTTAAAAATTCTAATTCTGAATTGCACTTGCGGAGGTGGAAGCTATCCAGTGCAGCATCTAGTAAGAGAGTGTCTGTTCTGTTTTTGCATGAACAAAAACAACTGAATAATATTCATGAGTAGTTCTATTAATACAGAGGAATGATCCTATGCTACAAGTGATCTGAAGGAACGCAAGCTGCTTTGGCGTTCTCAACAGCACTGTTCTACTCTCTTTAAAATCTGTGCGATATAATGTATAAGCTTAAAAGAATGTGCTACTGTGCAAGATTCAGATCCTTACCTATCAGCATCAACACCATCTCCAGAACAGCGATGGTTAGCACTATGCATTGCTGGAGGCTGACAGATCACACACACAGTATATCCTTCTCGTAAATACTGCATCCACCGAGCATATGGGCGATTCTCCACAGAGCAACGAGGAGACAATGTTTCAGTTTTAAATTCCACACAATAGCTCCTTTAGGGAAGAAAATACTTAATAATTTAACAACTTCAGTTACCATTCAGCGGATGTAGCTTGTGATTATACAATATGTGTACACTAAAAGCTTATACGAAACGGCCATCAATCTGTTGGCTGTAAAACACATGAGATGACCTGAGATTTACATAGTTAAGGAATAAGCAAAATTAAAGTAAGTGAAACCTAACATTTGTATTTTAACAGATAGTAAGTGCATTGGCATATTCCCACCCACCCCACACACAGAAAGAGAGAGAGTAAGGAAAATCACATAGATCTATCCCCCTCTCTTTAAAAAACCAAAACTGAAAGCTATTGTGGAAATGAACAGCAATCAGTCAACAGCAATAGTGAGCACCTTGGACTCACCTATTTCTAGTTCCAACCATTTGAGACTCCAAGGAAAATCACATCCACTTACCTAATCCTTTCTTAAAGGGATAGATCCTTGATTATTGCAATGTGAGTTAGAGCTGTTGAGCTCAGTTTAAATTCAAAGATCATTTTCCCACAACCCCTTTAGAAAGAGACTATTTACTCTTTAGCAATCCCACCATATCAGCAATGGGCACATCACAGGTCTCCAAATGTTACTGAATGGCAGTTCTCATAATACAAAACTTCTGCTTATGTTACTGAAGACTTCAGAGACCTGCAGCCTCTGAACAGAATACTATCACTATAATACAGCTCATGTGCTACCAGCTACTTCAGCAATGAAGTTAGACCCTATAACTGGAAAATTTCACCAACACAAACTCTTTGTCTTGTTCTTTTCCATAGTGATTATCCAATCAGAGTGTTAAAACAGATTTTTAAGTAGATTTTTGTCCTTAAATGATGTAGGCTATTGCAAATGATTGTGTTAGGTGCTGTCACGTAACATTGACTTATGACAAACCTGATAGGTTCTCAAGGTATGTGACATATTTAAGGAGTAGTTTTACCAGTGAGTTTTCAAGGCTAAGCAGAGATTTGAATATTACTCTATCTTGATATTATTATATCCACTGCTCACACTGGCTGTCATTAAACTGGCAGAGTACTACTTATTATTTTCACAAAAAATACATTTATTTATTTATTT